TATTAGTTATAAATTTTTCTGTTGTTTTATATTTCATAATTTTTTAAACCAAAAGATAAAATAAAAGAGTTATTTAGTATTGTTATCATATGTTTACTTTACATCAACATAATCAATATTTTAAAATGTATGTATCACACTTTAAGTTAATATCTTTCCAACCCTCATGTCATTTATGTAAGTAAAATTAATGGTTGAAATTCATTTGCCATCAAAAGACTAAAAAGGAAAAGGTGTAAAAACTTATCAGTAAAAGGAAAAAAGGTTGATTTAGTAAAATTTGAAAACCTGACCAGCAAAAAAAATATTTGACCCTGAGAAATAATATAAATAATTTATTAACAAGGAAAAACAAAAAATAAATTTATTTTTCTTATTTCTGAATTTAACCTTCTTTAATTGACATTAGGAACGTATTATGCTGCAAAATGCAGTTTTGCAATAAATCAATGAGTGATAAAGCTATTTGAGTTACTTGAAAATAAGTGATTCAAAAAAAAACATAAATTGAGAGAATTTATCATTCTTTTCTTATTATCAGTTCACTAAAATACTTAACACTCTTAATGACATATTTTTACAATCACATACCGATTGTAATATTTGTATAATCACAAAGGGCAATCACGATTAATGAAATGGATTTTAACATCCCTTTGTTATGTCCTTTAAATATTCATGAATATTGAACTCAGTTTTAGGAGATAAATTAATCAAACGCACTGGAATTCCTAGTATAAACTAATTATTCTATCCGAACATTGTAATGTATCTCCTTGTTGTTGATGCAAGTCCATTCACAACAACAATGTCTTTTTTCCAGACTATATTTTGGTTGTTATTCCTATGAAAGGTAAATATCAATGAATGGCAAGAGAGATCCATCTTCACCACGATTGGGGTGGTTGGTCAATGGAATTGAAAATATTGGTACTATTAAATACTATTTGTTGAGGCATTGATAGTGATGGTGGTGGTGAAGCTAATGGGTTGGGAATGTCTATGGCGGCATGATGAGTGGAATAGTAAGTGATGCGTGATTAGTAGTCTTCAAGTAGAAATTAATAACAATGGACAAAGATATGAGTTCCTTGTGCTTATTTATAGTGATAAACTTGTGTACCTAGATTATCATTATCTCTTTCAAATTAATTATACTAGTAAGATTGGTCAAAGACATATTTATTATTGGTCCAGTTTGCACTAATAATAAGTTGAAATAATTTACAATATAAAGATTTTTTACACTTTTGAGTTTACTTATAATTAATTGCATATTTCGACCTTTTTTTCAAATAATTTTAAAGTAAATTTTGATTAATATGTCAAATTTAGCAACATATCAATCAAGAATTATAATGATCTTGGAGTAGGATAAAATTGTTAAGTGCAATGACTCTTCTGTGTCTAGTTCACAAACACTTCTTGTAACTTATTTTATTAGACAAAATATACTAAAGTTTCAAAATTTAAAAAAAAAAGAAACACCTCAAAATCATTTCTCTCATTCTTAAATAAATATTCTCATTGGTTCAACAATGTGATTTGAAATTAGTGGATTTGCACGATGAATCAGAATATTTATCAACGAGTTACTATCTATATTAATAATTGATATTCTCAAACCTATTTGAGATTTATTCTTTTTAAATTAAAGAAATTAATGATTGGTGATTTTTCTGATGTGTTATATTTCATAAGTTTTTTGAAAAATATTATTTAAAAATATAATAAAAATTTAACTTTGTTTATTTTACATCAACGTAATAAATAGTTTAAAATGTATATTTCACGTGTTCAGTTGATCTCCTCTCATTCTCACTTGTCATGTGTGTAGATAAAAATTAATGGTTTAGATTCATTTGTTATCAGAAGACTAAAAAGGAAAATGTTTGAATAAACTTATTACTAGAACAAAAATATTCAATTTAGTAAAATCTTAGATCCGATCAAAAAAAAATATTAACAAGAAAAATCATAAAATAATTTTACTTTTTTATTTCTGAATTTATCATTCTTTAATTGACATTAGGAAGTATTATTTTGCAAAATGCAGTTTTACAATAAATTAATGGGTAGAAAAACTTTTTTCAGTTGCTTGAAAAGAATTGACCGAAAGAAGACTTAAATTGAGAAAATACATCATTATTTTCTTATTTTTAGTTTAATAAATACTTGACAATATATTAATTGTTATGAAACTATATGAAATTAGAAGACGAATAAAATAGAGAGAAGAGAAAAGATTTCTTATTCCTCTTGAAGTATATTCACGATTCATTGATCTTTCTCAAATATTATTTACAATGAAGGAAAACCCTTTATTTATATGGAAAACATTACTTGGTCCCCAAGTAGGATTTCTAACCATATCCTACAAGGATTTCACATAATTAGACATTCACTATAATACAAATTGTTTATAACACTCCTCCTTGAATGTCGGTAGATTATGTGTATCGTTAAAATCTTACTAGATAAAGCCCGGTGGGGGAAAAGATCTAGTAAAGGAAAAAGAGTACACATGTCTAATAATACGCATTATGGGTGCCTCATTAAAAATTTTACAAGGAAAACCCAATGGGACAAAACCTTGTGAGGGAAAAAGAGTACATCGCGTATTAACTCCCCCTTATAAGAATATCAATTCAGAGACTAGAATCTTCATTTTCCAAGCTTGTGCACCATCTTCTTGAAAGTTGTAGTTGGTAGAGAGTTAGTGAATAAATCAACAATGATATTACTTGAACAAACCTCTTGCATGTTGATATCACCATTCTTGGGAGCTTAAGAGTGTTGAAAAACCTTGACGAAATATGCTTTCTTCTATTGCTTTTATAAATCTTCCCTTCAGGGTCAAAGATTTCTGCAAGTTCCTTACTTCAACTTCTTTAAGCAAATAATCTATTGTCAAGAGTTTCAATTCTAGTCATCAACTTCCATAATAATACTTGTATATGCTCTATGCATTTTGAATATATTTAATTCTTATGAGGATGATAAACAAGTTTTTCAAAAACTTGTATATGCTTTAGATTTTGAACCCATTGAATATTTTCATATCAATTTTGTCAAGTAACAACGCTCAATATTAGATGTATGACATGTTCTAGTGCCTAGATTGCAAGTCAAATAAGCTTTACGCTTACTAAGATGCATGACTCCACTTTTCACTTGATAATTATTTCTACACAAGCATGCTTTAATAGATGTAGAATTCATATCCTCATAATCTTTTATTATATTGCGCGCTATTGTATCAAAGATATCGTCAACGATATACCATTTTACATTGATTCACAATACGACATAAGTTATTGAGATCTCATCACTTCATTATTTTTAGGTAGCTACCCCTCTCATAAGGTTCCATAAAGTGTTATGTCGTAGGCTCCCCAAGAACACATTATCTTCTTATTATGATCATTTTGATTATTTGATCCTCTCCCTTGTTAAAAAAATTATTTTATTTAGAATTGATTAGTCTATCATGCTTCATGCATGTCGTAGACTCTATCTTTAAGGGACATTCAGTAGGATTATTTACAACTTTTGTGTTGCTTCTAATCTCCCCCTTATGCTAGACAAACTAACATATATCTCAATCTTTGGAGAATCAATCCTTGTGCATCGATGTATATTCATTGATTATATACTACATATCAAAATAATCAGATGAAAAAATATTTGGTCCCCGACCATAAATTAATTGAAAAAAAATTTGATCATAATTTATCGGTCTGATGCGTAAAATTATTTTTGTATGAATATCATATTTCAGATCAACACATGAAACTTTATTTTCACAAGCAATGATTTCATTATCTCAGACATTTAATGTCATAACATCTTGAGTATTTATCAATATTATCAAAATAAATTGTCTTGATTACATATCTGAAATTGTGCTCTTAACTCAATTATTTTTGCACAAACAATTTTGTGAATGTAAAACTGCAAGTTGACAACAAACGCACATGTGATTATCTTATTGAGGCATCTTTTTATCATATCACATGATAGGAGAACCGGCCCATATTTACCTTTTATACTTTTCACAATTTAGGGATTTAGTCCCAACTTTAGTTGATCCAATCAACTTTATCACGAGAACAAGCAAAGTAAAGAATTTTTGAAGAATCTTCTACTTTTTCAATGTATGTACATTACTCAGTATGGACATCTTTGGGATGGTCAAATTATTTATGTCAACTAATAAAATTATTAGTACTCGTAAACCCAAGTTTACTATTTACTACATCATGTGCCTTTTACTTTATTAATTTCTGATTTACTATTATATTCCAACCACAACCACATTGAATGTTCATCCGATTCATCAACCTCTCCTGCTTTATTGTAAGAAACTTTTTAACGAGAATTTGTAGTGCGATTATCAACACACTTTAATCGATTTCATATGTATTATATCGAAACTTAACTTTTATAGATAAAATATCTTCTTTTATCAAAATATAATGCTTCTGATAATACGATTATCAATAGAACGTAATTAACATCTAGTTGCATACTTATAACATACATTCTACTAGATTGACATTTTCTGATGAGGTCAAAATTTTAAATTCATCACCTCAAAAAAAACTTTTCATGCACACCAATCATTTAAGTCTTTTTGTTTTGAGGTAGGATGGTCTTTGCCCTTTACATTTACAAAAATTAGTGGAACATCACTAAATTAAATCTTTGTTATTTCCTTGTTAAAATGGTTTTATCCGAAAGGACTATCTCAACATCGATTAACCAAACCTACTACATCTTATACCTAAAGTAAATTAATGTGACTACTCACTACTCCGATTCTCCATTGAGTAGAATACAACTCATGGATATAAAAAATAGATTTGCTCGCATCAAATCCTTCTTATGTACATTCATTTATTAGTCCAACATAATATACTAGCCTCCTTAAAATTCATCATGTCTCAGACAATGCAATTATTATACCATAGTAGAAGAGTGGGATATACTCTGATATCAACATGTCTGTTCCATATAATTTATTTATTGATTAAGGGCATTATGATAATTTCAATTCACAGTCAAGTCATCTCCATTGTGCTCCACGTGGTTATGTAACGTGGCATACATTACTTCTTTCACTGACCTCTATAAAGATTGAAAAGGAAGACAAATGATTTTGAATTCAACTATTTGTCTTCAACAACTATTGCAATCTTAAGGTAATTCACCATCTCTCTCTTCAATTTTGGATTCGATTTCTGCATTTTCTTTTACATTGTTTGTCGCATTTTCTTTTAAATTTACTTTTGTATATGGGGTTTATGAAGTTCGAATTAAAGCAGAACTGAAATTAGGGCTAAAATGGCTCTTCAAATATTTAGAGAGCCATTAAAAAGTAAAAACCTGCATATGTTTAGCAATTTTTCAGGTTATATATATATATATATATATATATATATATATATATATATATATATATATATATATATATATATATACACACACACACATATACACACACAGAGTAATTTTTCCCTGCGCATCGCGCATTCATAAATAATAATTGCATTGAACTTGCAAATATTTTTTTAATATATTTACATTAAAAATAATGGAAAGATAGATCTTAAAAAAAATATTAACAATATTTCAACATGAATTTGATTATTTGTCATTATCACATAACTGAAGAACCTTTAATGAATGAATTATTCACGAAATAAAAAATCATTTGTTGTTTAATCAATATTAAAATGAACATAAAGAAGAAAATAAGAATATATATATATATAAAGACATTTCTTCATAAAAAGAAACATTTGTATTGCATAGATTATACAATTGTGATATATGTCTTAGGAGAAAATTCAAAAAATTGTTAAGATATTAAAAATAAATTATGGTTGAACATGAAAGAAATTATAACTTTATATATATATATATATATATATATATATATATATATATATATAAAGACATTTCTTCATAAAAAGAAACATTTGTATTGCATAGGTTATACAATTGTGATATATGTCTTAGGAGAAAATTCAAAAAATTGTTAAGATATTAAAAAATAAATTATGGTTGAACATGAAAGAAATTATAACTTTTGAACTTGCATAATGAATTTCTCATAAGTCAAAAATTTCTTATCTATATAAAAATAGATAATATGTAAGCTCATATATAATATTTTTAAAATATAGAATTCAATATAGAATAGGGAAAATGCAAAAGTACCCCCCAACCTATGCCCGTATTCCCAGAGACACACTTAAACTATACTAAAGTTCCATTACCCTCGTAAACTTATTTTATAAATAATTTTCTACCCCTTTTCGGCCTACGTGACACTAGTTTGAAAAAAAAAATGTCAACACGCACTGGGCCACAAGATAGTGTCACGTAGGCAGAAAAGGGATAGAAAATTATTCATAAAATAAGTTCAAGGGGTAATAAGACTTTAATATAGTATAAGTGTATCTCTGAAATTTCGGGCATAGGTTGGGGGAGGTTACTTCTGCATTTTTCCTATAGAATATCAAATCATGAATTTTTGGAAATGAGTACAATAATTTTTTACTACACAATGAATATATGTACTGTATGTTAAATATAACCAGAGATATAATTTTGCAGAAACATAAACAACAGAGTTTAAAACATTCACTCAAAAACAACAATTCATATTACAAGCATAAATTAATGAGTGTAAAAAAATATACCGGAATATGTAAAAATAGAATGAGATAGATAGAAAAAAATTGAGACCACTTAATGCACAATTTCCCCTTAAGAAAACTATTTTCCTCCAATACCAGATATTTAAAGAATTAGATCCTAACAGGATAGAACAATTTATTCACAAACCTATTGATACAAAAAAAGTGGTGTTAGTAAATCACTCAACATGAACAAAGTACACTAAAATTTAATTTTGTGAAAGTAGAAGAAGAAGATCAGAACTTTTGTTGTTTTTGAATGAGAGGAAATTTCGCTATTTATAGACAACAAAGGGTAGTGTGAACAAATCTTTATTTTGCCTTATTGAAAAGGTTATAACTAACTGAAAAGTTACAACCCTTTCGAAAATTCACCACCTTTCATACAAGTCACAACATCACATAAAGTCGCAACTCTTAATGAAAGTGGCAACTTTTGATAAAAGTTGCAACTCTTTATTGAAGTCGCAACTTGTCATAAAAGTCACAACTTTTCATAAAAGTTGCAACTCTTCATTAAGGTAGCAACTTTTCATAAAAGTGGTAAATCTTCATTTAAGTCGCAACTTTTCATAAATAGTCACATATTTCATGAAAGAGGAAGACTAGTTTTTTAAAAAATAAATATAAAAGGAAATTCTTGCTTGTGATGGTGCCACGTAGGCGGGCCTAGGGTTCTCTTATATTTATATATACTAGAGATGTACACGTGCGTTGCACGTGTAAGCCATGCTAAGTTGTAACATTCTTTCTCAAGATACATTCATGACCTTTATATATATACTTGTATAGATATGATATTGCCTTTACCAATGAGTAGACATCAACATTTATGTGACAATTGTATCTTGTAAGATAAAATACCGGCAACATATTATGTAATGAATATAATAAAATATTAAAATAGAGTTACCTCTTCGTCGATGAATATCAGTTGCCAACGAATACCCTCACTGTTAGCATTTTTATACTCTTTTGTTAAGCTCCGTAGTATGACTATACTTTAATCACCCATGTTGTTGCATATTTCTTCAACTGGCTAATAGGTAGGCATTGATTCTCGAGCTCTTCCACAGTTATCATTGTAAGGTTGAAGTAGTTAGGATTTTACTAATACAATATATACTTGTGTCGTAAATGTTAATTTTTTTGTGTCTAATTAGTGTTTTTTTGGTCGAACAATAAAGATGCTGAAGAAAATAATATTCACTAGACATGTTAATTCTTTTTTTTTTACTTTTAAAAGCAAGCAACTTCAACTAACAATAGTATAAATATCACATTAATTGAAGCAAATATATTCAAGTTGGACAAACGTTACCAATTTTGATGGTGTTGAAAGGAAGAAACCTATTAAAAGTATTACAACGCGAAGAGATAGTAAATGTACTGAAAAAATGAACTAAATTCTCTAAATCACATTAGTTTTCTTTTCTATCTAATCAAGATTTTTTTTCATTCACATTATGCGCTTTGTATTTATTTTTGTAGAACCCCATATGAGGAAAAATAAAAAAGAATGAAGAAAGGTGTGTTTGAGTTTTATAGTGCGTGTAAATTCACCATTTTTGTGTTGATTTTTAGTTGTCTTTTGTTTATTTTCAGATCTGTTAGCTATAAAAATCTCATCTTGTCTCATTTCAAGATTACCCTTTTTGTTCATTAGGTTGGAGATATGAGTAAAGAAGAGTTCTGGAAGATCCAGGTACTTGTTATTTCCTTAATTGGGTCATTCCATTAATGTGCGTGTATAAAATTGTTTTTTGGGGGGTTGCTTGAGTTTCTATTTTATGAAGTAATTAGTATATGTTTGAATGAAAGATCAAAATTTGTTATGAGTTTATTCACTTTTGTATGTATATTGTTTCTCCTGTACAGTTTGAATGTTGAATGGGTTTGACTGGTTTTGGTTGTGCATGTAGACTCGTGTCCTTAAATTCAATATACATTGTGATGGGTGTAAACATAAAATAAAGAAAATCCTGTAAAAGATTGAAGATATTTTTCCAAGACTTAATTTTTTATTATCTGAATATCCAAATATGATTTAATATATGGCTTTTTTATTCTTTGTTGTGGTTGTTTTAAAATGATTTTAATATCCAGGGGTATATAAGACAAGCATGCATGTCCTAAATTGACTATTATGTTATTCACGTATTCTCCTCTCCAACAAAGTAAAACACCTGCAGTGTGAAAAAAACCCAGAAAACAACATTTAACGGAAGTTAATGATAAACAGGGAAAAAAACAGTCAAGAACATGAAACTCCACTTTCATTAAACAACAAAACTACAACAGTGCACATATAATAATAAAACACAAAAGAATTCATTGTATGATTGCCCAAGATACTTTTTTTTTGAATGGTGAATAAAACTAAAAGAAAATTGCAAAATCAATGATTGATATTGTAGCCTGCAAAATACATATTAATATCTACTTCCGAGTCAAGAGTAGGGTTGGCAAGGGGACGGGGAAGGGGACTGAGGGACGGGACGAAGGGGGACGGGACGGGACTGGGGACGGGGAGAGGGAATTTGATACGGGATCAGGATTAGGGGGATCAAAATAGGTCCCATCCCGTGCCACTATATATATGGGATGAGATGGGATTTGGGGGACGGAACGGGATGGGACGGGGGATTTTTTTTAAAATACTTATATTTTTGTATTGAAATTACACGTCTTTAGCTAATAAATTTTAAATTTAATTTTTTATTTTCAAATATCAAAATAAATTTTCAATTTTCAAGATTCATGTTTCAAATTTCAAGTTTCAACTTTAATGTTTTAAATTTCAAATTTGAGAAGTTTAAATTTGTAATTTAAATATTTTAAAGTAATATAAATTGTAAACTTTAAATTAAGTATTTCAAAATTAGTTTAGTACTTTAGTATATATTTAATTGTATATATTAAATTAAAATGCAAAACAAAAATTGTATAAAAAAAACTTGAACAAAAGTTAAATCCTTCAAATTTATTCAATAGAACTTAGAAGTTACAATTAACAAATATTAGTGGAGTAACTAATCTAGCAACCACCTTCTAGGAAGGGTTCTGTTTCAATAAGTTCTCATACGTAAAACTAATATTTGTTACAGATATTAGATGAGTAACTAATTTTACGCAGCCACCTTCTAAGAAGGGTTCTGTTTTTATTAGTTCTCGAATGTAATCTAAAAATATCTGTTTTCTCCTTTAAAATTTAATTCTGATTGTCGCATCATATCGATGGTGATATCCACCGGTGTTGGCAAACTTGCTTGAAATTCTTGTGCCTCTAATTCATCATCACTGCATTCAATTTGTGTTTTGATCCAACTTGCTTAGTTTTTTACTTAAATTTGGCAAATTGTTATTCCTCCTTTCAGCATTGCACCAGTCTCTAAATAAAACTGTTATTTCCAAAACTTTCTTCCGCCAATGAATGTCTATGATCACCAATTTGAAACCTCGCCGCACTGAAAGCAGCCTCCAATGCAACTGATGAAGCTTGAATAGCTAGAACATCACGAACCATTTTGCTCAAAGTTGGAAACGCATCACTTCGCCTACTCCACCATCGTAATAAATCTTCATTGCCATCTTTGATTTCCAATACTTCTAAAGATTGATTAAGATATTCTTCAAAATCATCACGGTTAGTAGAATTAAGACCAAGAAAACCTCGCATATAAGTTGAAATTGGAAGTGACAAATCAATCTCAACATTAGAAGTTTGACCAACTTCTCCTTGAAAATCTTCCGTAGTTTTATATTTTCATACAATAATTTTGCTTCTACTTTTATGCTAGACTTACACGTTTGACAATTTAGAATTTCTTCTGGTAAATTTCTAAAGTTTCATAAAAAGTGTCAACAAAGTCTTGCACACCTTGTAATTTATAAGCAGGACGAAGTAAAGTAGCCGTTAAAAAAACTTGAGGAATAGGAAAAAAATATTTTTTAAATTTTTCAATCATATCTTCAATTGCAACTCTAAATTTATCTATTTTTTATATTTACAAAATTGAATTGAAAGAGCACAAATATTTATTAATACGGATGAAATAATAGGATAATAAATTTCTGAAATCATGATAGTAGCATCATAAAAAAGTCTTAAAAATTGTAATAGTTCTTTAGTTTCTTCCCAATCTTCATCACAAATTCTATCAAATGGGTCAGCATTATGAGCATTAAAAATCATTTGTATGGGTCTTCTATATTTGTAAGCAACCGAAAGCATTTCGTAAAGAGAATTTCACCTTGTTTTAATATGTTTTGGAATTTTTCTAGGTGAAAATTCATATAGTAAACAACGCTCATTAAATACCCTAATTCTAGCAGCATTGTTTGTAAGAAAAATCCAAGTAACAGCATATTCAACGTTTATGCTACCACAATCAAATAATGAAATACCATCTTGTACAACTAAATTTAATATATGTGCAACACATCTAACATGAAAAACATTATTGTCAATTGGACATAATCTAACTTTCAACATTTTAGCAGCGTTTGTATTATTAGATGCATTTCCTAACGCGACAGACATTATTTTATCTATAATCATGTAATAATCTAGAACACTTAAAATATTTGAAGCTAAATATGCATTAGTTTTTTTCTTAATACACAGTTTATTACTTATAATTCTTTTTTGCAAATTTCAATTCTAATCAATTCAATGTGCAGTACTAGTTAAATAATCATTTCCATTAACACTACGACTCATGTCCGACGTTATAGACACTCTACTATCTAATATATTAAATATACAACGAAGAAATTAACAATGTTTACCTTGAAATTCAAAAACATCAGATTTAACAGTATTTCTTGAAAAACCTCTATAATCCGGATTATAAGTTTGTTGAATATATTCAATTAAATCGGGATTTGAAGGAAAACTATAAGGCAAATCACAACTACAAACCATTTTAGCTAAATTTTCCCGATCTAATTCCTTATTATATTGCGTTGTGTTATTGGACCAGCAGGGTTAAAAGGATCTAATGTTTCTTGAACCGTGTTAGAAGCCCCTATCAATGCATTACCACTAATATCTAATTCATTAATTGAAATTCCCTTTTTTCTATTGGCTAATGCTTTAGCTTCTTTATATTGAATCGGCACACAAGATAACAAATGTCTATTTAATCCCCCGGTTCCACCCCCCACCTTATTTATATTTAAAAGGTTGCTTGCATTTATTCTAAATAGAAACACTATTTTCTTTATCGAAACTCATAAATTGCCACACAATAGAAGTTTTAGGTCGTTGATACTTCACCTTCTCCCTTGTGGGAGGTATAAGGGGTGGATGTGCAAAATTTTACTCCGGTAAATTGATAGTCTCATTTGGAACTTCTGCTCACCGGACTAGTAGGTGTTTCTTCTAACTCCTCTTCTCCCAAATCAGCTTCTACTTCTTCACCTGATTTTTCATCAACATTAGGATTAATATTACCATAACGTCGTTCTAAACTTTCGTGATCGAGTTGAACATTTGGATCAATATTATAAGGAGAATCATCAACATAAGTAGGATCATTTATGTTAAATCTAACTCTACTCGTTGATTTAGATGAAGTACCACCACTTTTACTAATATTTTTTTCTTTACTATTTTTAAGCAAAATTAAATAATTTAAAAAGTCTACTTTTTTCGTTATCCTGTGCTTTCTCTTTTCTTTTACCGCTATTTTTTTTGTGCTAGAACTCATACTTAATTATATATAAAGTGTAATATAAAAATAATAACTCAAAAGTAAAGACGAAAAATAAAATATAAATATTATGAAACGAATGTACCAAACGTCTGCGTTAATAGCAGACGTTAAACCGATTGTTGAAGCTTGTGATTTGTTGTAACTTGTAATTTTAAACTCCAACCAATACTTATTAACAAATATGAGATAATATAATTATATTTATTGATATAATATTAAAATTTCGAATTGAAAATTGAAATATATGGATTCTAATAATATGAGAATTAAAATGGAATAAAAATTAAGATTGACACTTGAGAGTTGAGAGTTGAGAGGATATAGAAAATAGATGAGAGAAATGAGAATAGATGATTTTGTAAGAAATAGTAGGGGATAGGTTTATTTATAATATTATAAATAGGTTAAAGTGTAACTATTATAACTTGAGGGTTTAAAATAAAGTTTTAAAAGTAGGGGGTGGTAGGGGGTGTTTGGGAACATAAAAAGGGGCAAAAATCCATTGGGGGCCCACTAGCCGTTTCCCCAACGGATCTAAACGGTAAAATTTCTTAAATTTTTTTTTAAAAAAAGACAGTGGGTATCCCGCGAACCGGCTGGTTCAATCGAGCTAGGACCGGGTCGGGTCGAGCGGGACGCAGGGGTGAACCGGCCCCCTCATCCCCCACCCCTTAAACCCTAGGGGACGGGACGGGTTCGAAACGGGGCGGGGCAGGACGCGGGCCATCCCGGTCCCCCTACCACCCCTAGTCAGGAGCAAAACTGCCAAATAAGAAGGAGGGCATTCCTTAGCAGATTTTGACCCATAAATTTAAGATATTTGATAAATAAGTTGATGTATTGAATGCAAGAGCAAGACAACACATGAGAATGAATACAAATATATCTACAATCCCATAAGAAGATGCAACAACATGTTGGAATATCAATATAGCAAACTGCTGCTGTTACACTTGCTTCCACATCTCTAATCATTCTGCATAATTTAATATTTAATGCAACTGTTACACAGATCGAGGGAGGTAAAGGAGAACCTTTACGTTTCTGCAGAATTTAATTATGGTCAAATTTATTTTTTTAATAAACTAATATTTAATACAACTGTTACACTGATCGAGGGAGGTAGAGGAGAACCTTTACATTTCTGCAGAATTTAATTACCGCCAAATTTATTTTTTTTAATAAATTAATATTTAA